GAGCGACCAGGCCCTGGACCCCATCTTCCAGCTGGTAATGTCTGTGACATCCCTCCGAACCTCAGTTTCCTTCTCAAAGAGCGGAGGGGCATCATCAGAGCAGCCAATATTTATTAAGTTCTTAGTAAAAGCCGGGCCAGAGGTGAGGGGGGCAAGAGCCTGAGACCCGCCTGGGAAAGCGCTCACTTGTTCTCGGTGAGCGTGCCCGTTAGGAGAATTGCCCCAGGTGGGGACGAGTGACCCTGGGCTGCTCCCTGCCCTCGCTCCTCCCGTCCGAGTGTCGGGGCGTCCGGCGTGGACCTCGATCTCCCGGCCTGGCTCCTCGCCTCTCTCCTTAAGGAGACTGGGTGGTGGTGAGGCGTGAGCACAGGTGTGTGACGCTTAGGCCACGTTAGGTGGGACCCACGTGCTTCCGGGGGCGTCCAGGGTCCTGCTGGCCTCCCAGCTCCCTGGGAGTGAGCCAGCAAGTCCTGGCACCTGTCTGAGAATCCTGTTCTGATGGGTACTTACTGCCTTAGGACAGGGACAGTGACGGAGTCGGCCTCAGCCACTTGCTTTGTAAATAGCATTTCACTGGGCCAGAGCTACCCTGATTTCACGGCCACAGCAGAGAAGTTGTGACAGAGACTGCGGCCACCGGGCCTCAGACCTTTCCCACCCGGCCCGTGGCAGGCCCGGCTCCCGAGGCCTGGGGGCTGCGCTGTGCGTCCCGCCAGCGGCAGCACCGATTCCGAAATGCACTCGGAGAACAGCCTGTTCTCAGGCAGCGGCCGGCGGCCGCCCCGCTCTCAGGAACTTGGGCCAGGGCCACGCAGGAAGCCGGGAGGAGAACCGGGATCCGGAAGGTGCTCCTACCAGCTGCCTCACTGGCGGGCCTCCCGCGTCCTGGCTGCTACGCAAGACGGAGAGGGCCGGAGGGTAATGAATTCCTGGGTGTGGTTCTTGGCTTATTTGCTCGTCTAACTGAGGCTGGTCGGCTGCTCGGAACCTGTAGGATTTCCTGCTCGCTCTGCTCTGTCTGAGTCAACACCTGTGCGGCCCCTCTGCCAGGCTGCACAGAGCCGTCACACGGTGTGATGGATGTATTACTAGAGGCCTGTGCCGGGGAGGCCAAGTGCCTGGGCTGCCCGGGGTTGGGGCACGCAGGGGCTCTGGAGTCCAGTGAGACTGGTTTATGTTCCTGTCTCCTCGAGCCTCAGTTTCCTCATCTGTCAGTTGGTTTCACAGTGGTTCTGCTCTCTCAGTGTTGTGACCAGGACATATGATACCTGGGGTGGGGAGCTGAGTGGTTGCTGGAGCGTATCACTCTTGCCTGAGACCTGGGGCCCCATGTGGGCTTTGGGGTGCACGGGAGGCCTGGGGGGCAGTGATCCCACAGCCCGCTCCTGCCCGGCCCTCGGACCCCGGGTTTGGGTCCCTCCCCTTTTGGAGCTGACAGTGCCTGGGATTCTCGGGATTATCTGGAACCTCTTACCCTTGCTTCCCTCGCCCGTCAGACAGCACACGGAGGTGGCCAGTGGTGCAGCAAGAGCAGCGTCTGCTAAAGGCTCGCCCTGGCTTTGTGGGCACTCGGAGCCCAGGGTGCGCGGCCACCTTGTGCACCCTCCCTTTAGTCACTGAACGGGGGTGACTCCCGGCAGGTGCCAGCCCAGCACCTGCAGCCACAGCTGGAGCATCCCCGAGGGCTGTGCCTGCCCCCGACTCGAGCGTGTCTCCTAACAGGGTGGGGCTGGGGCACAGGCCCTAAACGAGGGAGTGAGCCTCAGTGGAAATCCCAGACTTCAAACGAGACGGGACGATGGAATTCAAGGGGATGCTTGGAGGAGAGGGAGCTGGGATGGGAGATGCCCCAGAACTGGAGGTGTCAGGCCCCTCAGCAGGGCTGGAGCCCAGCATGGGGGAGGCAGGGAAGCCCTGGGCGGTCTCATCTGGATGCCGCAGGGTCTGGTTTCTTGCTGCGGGGAGAAGGGGCTCTGGGGGGGTCCTGTGACCACCTGGGCAGGAAGTGGGGTGGAGGCGGGGAGCACAGATGTGTGCCTGGCCTGCAGGTGGGTGTCTGTGGAGTGGTCGCGCGATCGAGGCCTCCTTGAGGGGAATGGCTTGAGCAGCTGGTGGACACGGAGCTATGAAGCGGGAGGACACAGGCTGGAGGTCTGTGCTGAGTGGGACGGAGTCAGACCACCAGGGAGATGTCCCGCAGGGTGAGCAGAGTGACCTCGAGGGGAGCCCAGCAGGACTGAGGCAGGAGTCCAGGGTGATGGTGGTGGCTCCCGGACAAGCCTCGAGTTTGGGGAGACCCGGGGGTCATCAGATGTGAGGCAGGGCCAGGGCCAGCAGTCACAAGGGCCTTATGGGTCTCGGGCATCCAGACTGGTCCCAGGAAGCACCTAGCACAGGGCCCCTCATGGCTTCTTGGGAGCCGTGTGTGCTGGGGTTCTGGGGAGATCGCTTGTAGGGGCGGGGGCCTTTGGGGTCCTGATTAGGACTGGGTCTTAGTCAGTGACTCTTCCCTGGCCCTCCTGTTCTCCCGGCAAAGTCTTCGAACCCACAGCTGCCGTCCCAGACTGCCTGGACCTCAGGGCTTGGGGCCGTCTTCCCTGAGGACAGAGGCCTGGCAGACGGCCATGCGGTCAGCTGGGACCAGCTCGGGGTGGACAGGGAGGCACTCAGTGCTCTCTCAGCATCTGTGATTCCTCAGGAACGTGGTTTAGGACGAGGGCTGCTTCCTGTGGGAGCACCGACGTCGCTTATCCTGGGATCGCGGGAGAGCCCCCAGGTCCTCGGGAGGAGAGGCTGGCCNNNGGGAGGGACGCAGCCAGGGGCAGAACGCTTGCGCTGCGCCTCGAGGGAGGACAACAGGGACGTGGCAGGCCAGAGACCAGGAACCACTTTTTTTAAACCTTGGGCTGGGAGTGGAAATAAAGTCCTTTGTGGTTTCCAAGCCCAGTGTTCCCCAGACACTGCAGCCTTTGTGTGTCCAGAAGCCATTCAGTGGGTTTCCAGAGCCAAGGGCTTTGTGTCCGGCCGGCCCTGCTGGACTCAGTCCTGCTGGGAAGGCCCAGAGCCCTGCGGCCTCTGCCTCGAGCTGGAGCCTCACGGCCCCGGGGAACAGCACCAGGCGTCCTCGCGTGCATGGTCCTGTCTGTGGCCCGCGGTCTCAGGGTCCTTGTGGAATGCCGTGGCGCTGAGCAGGGCCCTGGCGTCGCCGCAGCCAGGGAGCATTAACCGTCTGCTTCCACCTGCAGGTACGGGGCAGGGGGCCCTCGGGGGCTGTAGGGGCCCTGGGGCAGCAGGTCCCACTCTGAGCAGCTGCTCACCTCGGGGTGGGTGTGCAGGGAGCTGCCCAGGGGGCTTTGTGGGGGTGCACGAGGGCTGGTTCTGGGAGGTGGGTTTCCCTCCACGGGCCTTGGGGAGTGAAGGGTGGGTGTAGGGTGGGGGGCTGCTTGGATAAAGGGAGGGCCAGATGGGCGACACCTGGCAGCAGCAACCAGAAGACAGGTGCAGGGGAGGTTTGTTGAGACAGCGCCCACTTGACGCTGGGCATGGGGAGGGCTTCTCTCCGGGTCACGGTTGGTGTCTGAGACCCGGCCCCCCTTTCCCTCTCTGTGGACTGCGGTCCATGTCTGTGTTCTACATCTTCATCTGAAAGTTGGGGGGGTGTACTGTGCTGAACAGTGTCCCCGAAATTCCAATGTAGCTGGAACCTGTGACTGGGGACCTTACTTGGAAACAGGGACTTTGCAGGCATAATTCAGATGAGGTCATCCGGGGGTGAGGCGTGGCAGGCTTCCCTGCAGCCCGGACCCATCCTGATGGGGTCGGCGTGGGGGGGTTGGGTCTGGTCCTGATCTGGCAGCAGAGTGCGTTGGTCGTGTGTGTGAGGAGCCGAAGGAGTCAGCGAGCAGGGTGGTGGTGGGGGCAATGGGACCCGGCCCCCTGGGAGCCCCTCGCTCAGGCAGGCGCAGTGTTTGGACCCTGCAATGCGGGCTGGTGTGAGTATCCAGCAGGAGGAGCCCAAGGCTCGGGTGACCTGGTGGCTGGAAGGACGTGCCCCACTGGGTAGCCAAGGGCACGCGGGCCCAGCACTGGGTGCCCAGGCGGGGGCGAGTGCTGCATTCTGATGGCGGCAGGGCAGACACTTGGTGCTTTGTCCCCTCGCCCCGCTAGGCCCTCATTTGCTTGCAGCGGCTGAATTGGGAAGGAAGGCGGCCCCAGCCTCGGGGACTGTGAGAAACGCAGGCAGCGAGGTCCGCTCACCAGACCCTGCAGGGGAGAAGCCTGGCCGGGCAAGGCGGGCACTTGACCGCTCTCCGGGGGCCTCAGTGCCCGCCCGTCTGAGGCTAGATGACGGGGAATCTCTCCGTCTTTGTGAAAAAGGAAGGAGGTGGGTTCTTTGTGGCTGCATTTACCCCAGCCGGCGTGTTTTAATTTCTTTCAGTTTAAAAAGCAATAGGGAAGCATCATAGGACATTTGGGGGGAGAGATGTTACAAACCACGCATAAGCCTGCAACCCTAACACTCCCGTGTCACCTGTGGTCTTTTTATTTTATTTTTATTAAACACTTTTTTTTTTAATTCTTGCCTGAGGATATTTTTTCCATTGCTTTTCAGAGAGAGCGGAAGGGAGAGAGCAACATCGATGCGAGAGACACATCGATGGGCTGCCTCCCACACTCGCCCCAACCAGGGATGGGATGAGCCTGCGGCAGGGGGCGTGCCCTTGGCCAGAATCGAACCCGAGACCCTGCAGCCCGTGAGCCGATGCTCTAACCGCCGAGCCAGACTGGCCAGGCCTCCTTTGGTCTTTTTAGACGCCTGTTTGCTGTCACGGCGACCTGGGGTAGCAACGTTTTATAACGGCCTTTGTCCCTCGCTGGGATGCGGGTCCAGCGTGATCTGCCAGCACTCCCTCCCCGGCCCCGTGTGGACGGCTGACTCGCAGCGCTGCCTTGTCACCCCGCTGTGGGCAGGAGGCCTTCGCCACCTGTTGGACTTGCTCCTGGGCTGCCCCTCACAGGTGGAACCCTGCCCAGAGGGCGCCGGGTCGGGGCCCTGCTACCTTCCTGCAGGCGCGGCCTCTGTTTCCTTTGCAGCTGGGGGCTTTCCCACCTCGGGGGGCAGTTTCCTCGCGCCCGCGTCCCCGGCTCCGCGAGTTGGCTCCGCCGTGTGCCGAGGTCCCGTGACGTTTACCAGTTTGTTCAGTCTCTTTCCTAACAAAGATATTAGTCTTTCACGTGCCGCGTTTGCTGCCCGTAGCCCGGGGTCGTCGCCTTTTTTTTTTTTTTAAATTTAAGCAAATGAAAGTTTACTTTTGTCCAGTTGACCGTTAGACGTTTTTAACTTTGTGCTTATTTTTTTCAGGCTCTCAAATAGACCATTTCCCTCTCTCCAGGGGCTTGCTAAGCACTAAGTTCTCTTTAGTTTTTGTTTTTTTTTAAATAAAGTTTACATAACCTTTCAGCGCATCTGGAGTTTGCTGCTCCTTTGCACATATTTTTCCAGATGGTTGGGCCCTCCCACCCCCTGAGGGCAGGGCCGCCGCCCCCCCATCCTGCACAGCCTTGTGCACCCCTGGTCGCTCTGAGTTCCAGGGCCATTGGGTTCCCCGTGGTTTTTGCACCAGGGCCACATCCGGCCACCTTGTCATGTCCCGAGAGAGCTCTGAGAGCGCCTGTCCCAGGAGCACCCGCAGCCCCTCCCCTGACACCCTGCAGGCCTCACCTGTCCTCACAGACCGGAGCACGTCTGGTGCCTTCTGAGGGGGGTCCTTGCCGTGAGCGGTGATGCCCCAGGGAGGAAGGCCCTGGAGGGGGGGAGCAGGCACATCAGCAGAGCAGATGACACCCCTGGGAGTGATTAGCGATTAACGGTCATCGGGGAGCCTCTGCACCCACAGTTGGAAACAGGAAACACTTCTCCCCCCTTCCTGGTTCTTCGTGAAACAGCCCAAGGGGGCGGTTAGGGCCTGTTGGCGGATTCCATCTTGCTCACCCACTTCCTGCCCGCCCCCCCGTGGAAATACCCGTGTCCCTCATTGGGTCCAGGCCTGGGGTTGGGCCGCGATGTGCGTCACCGGGACTCTCGGCGTACTTCACTGGTGATGTTCCCATTTCAGAAGCGGGAGCTAAGGCTCAGGAGGGTGGCCAGCGGCCAGCAGGTTTTGAACCTAGGTGTGTCCGGAGCCCCCACTTCTGCCAGGACCCAGGGCCTCCTGGGGAAATTGGGGGGGCTGGGGGGCGAGGTCTGGCCTGTTGCCCCAGGTGGGAAGCTGTGTGACGGGCACTAGGGTTGGGGTGCGTGGCCCCTGCTGTGGGCTGAGTGAGGGTGGTTGGATGTTTGGACGACAGGCCACTCACAGCCTGGCCCCTGGGACTTTGGGGGGGTCACCTAGGCTTTCGTGGCTGAGCTTAGGTGGAGAGATGGGGACTGGGGACTCCATGGTATGTCCCTCCCGGTTGGTTGTGCATATGTGTTTAAACCTATGTGCCCGCCGTGTGGCCACGTTGTGGTTCCCACAGTACAACACCCACCACGCCTGCAGCCTCGGGGCTGCCCAGGGAAGCAGGCAGGCCGCCGGCCGGGCGTGTGTGTGGAGTCCTCTCAGAGCAGGGGAGGCTCAGCCGAGTCTAGTGGCCCGTCCGGGGCCAGCGGAGCAGGCAGGATGGAGCAGCCTGGGCTGTGTCCTGGGGAAGGGGCCACGTGAAGCAGCCGAGCCAGAGCCTCGCTAGGTCCAGAGGGACCCCACTGAGACACCCCGTGTCTGGTGTCTGGGTGGTTTCCGGGGAGTTGTGGCTGCCCCAGGCAGCGCACGTAGCCACAGCTCTGGCCACATTCTTGACGGTTCGTTAGGAGAACTTTTGAGCCGTGTGGGCCCCTTCCCCGGGTGTCCCTCCCCCCCTTCCCCAGGGCCTCCGGCTGCCCTGGTGCACCAGGCTGGCCCGTCTTTCTGGTCGAAAGTTCCCGCTGAGACGCTTGCCTCCCTCCTGCCCTGTGGGGCACACAGTGGGACGGCTTTTGTCTGCAGCAGTGGCAGGAAGTCGGCTGCCAGCCCAGGGGGTGGGTGCAAGGTGGGAGCCATGCCCAGAATTGGCTGCTCCCTGAGGACAGGGTTGGTCGCAGCCCAGGGCGCTGGGCCAGGAGAGTGTCCTTGAGGCTGGTGGGTGCGCGTGCTGGGCAGGTGGCCAGTGGGCGAGCGACCCACTGACCCTGTTCCCCTTCTCCCCCCGCAGGGACCCCGACCGTCATGTTAAGGTGAAGCAGAGGGGCTCAGTGCTGAACATGCTCAGGAGGCTGGACAAGATCAGGTTCAGAGGTCACAAGAGAGATGACTTCCTCGATCTAGCGGAGTCTCCCAATGCCTCGGACACTGAGTGTGGAGACGAAGTCCCCCTGAAGATACCTCGGACCTCGCCCCGGGACAGCGAGGAGCTGAGGGACCCTGTGAGTACCCCGTGCCGGCCTCCCAGGTCCAGAATGTCCTCCCCCTCTGCCTGGCCTCAGACCCCGGGGTCCTCGGTGTGGGGTCCCCCATCCTCGGGTGGCTAGGCTGAGTGTGGGCTTGGGCAGAACGTGACCCGCCTGGCTGGTCAGAGACAAGCTGGGCCTGCTTGCCCCGTCTCCTGCCCTGCCTGCCCCCTGCCTATGTCACAGGTGGGGCTTGTCACCGGGTCCAGGATAAACAGCCTTTCCTTGACCCAGGGCTTGTCCAGTGGCTGGATCACCCTCCACGTGGTTCCGGGTGGTTGGCCGGCTCCTCACGCAGAAGTGGTGCTGAAGCCCAGCCTGACCCCTGGGAGTCTGGACACGGGGGGTGGATGGACAGGGCACTGTCTGGAAGCTGCTGGGCCCTGGCCTGCCTCCGGCTGCGCTTGGGCAACCTGGCTGGTCTGCCTGGCTATGCCAGGGTGTTTGTCCCTGACCCCCGGCCTCTGGAGAGCCCTCGTCAGCCCACGTGGAGACAGTGGCCCCTATGGGCCAGTCGGTGGGGCCCTCTTTATCGGGGCAGCAAATATCCTGTGGGCACCTCCACTAGACACTGCGGCACCCGTGGGCCCTGCTGTCCGGAAGCTTGCGTTTCGTCAGCGGGGGGTGGGGAGGATCTGTGGCCCCCTCCCTGCCAGGTGTGATTGCCAGGCTCATCCTGTGGGCATAACCACCCAGTCCTCCCCACTGCCAGCGAAGACGCCCAGAGCCATCTCAGTCCTCTCTGGGTGACCTCCCGGCATGGACACCAAGTTTAATGGCCCTTTGGTTTCCTCCCCGAGCGCCTGCACCAGGCTTTCTTTGCAGATGTGTCCTGTGTGTGCTCGCTCCCCCACTCCCTGTATTTTTAATGCTCTGTCAGGGAACAGGCCTGCCCTCGGCTCCCAGCAGGATGAATAATTTACCGGCACTGCCTGCTGAGAGCCGGCTGCTCCGCACCCCGGCCACGTCCCGGCAGAGGCACTGGTGGGTCCTCCAGGCTGGGGCCCCGCTTGTGTGTCTCCTGGTGTAGTCGCGGCACCAAGCAGCACACACTTGACTTGCAGGGACAGCCGTGTTTTTTGTTCGGCCGGCGCCAGCCTGGGGACTGGGGCTGCGGTTCTTGGATACTCTTTGGGCCAAGGGTGGGCCTCTCGGGAGCAAGAATCCCCACACATGGCTCCAAGCTCTGTGTGCGTACAATAAACCCTCGATTTTTCCGACCTCGATTTAACAGACTTCGGATTTGACAGACAAAATTTCTGGTCTGTATGTCACATGTGTAAATTAACAGGTTAGCATTTGTTTTTCAGTCACTCTTATTTTTAACAAATTTTAGTGAATGGGCCATATGTTGGGAAAATCACTGTTGTAGTAATTTCTCCGAGATAAATATTACGTATGCACAACTGTAGTCTATGTATTTAAATCCAAGAGTCACCGGTCGTAAGCAGTGTTTGGGGAATGATTAGCACGTGATCACACTGCACTACCAGGGGAAATTGGTTCTGTTGTCCTGTGCCCCGATGTGTGCTAAGCCCCCCCCAGTCGCGAAGCCCGGGCCCAGCCACTAAGCCCCGCCCCAGTCGCTAAGCCCCGCCCCAGCCATGTGCATTTATTTACTCGCAGTGATGGGCGAATGCAGGAATTTACTAGACCTAGTCAGTATAAATTTAATTTTTTTTTAATTCTCACCAGAGAACCGGGGCTGGGGATCGAGCCTGCAACTGAGATACATGCCCTTGTCTGGATTCGAACCCAAGACCCTTCCATCTGAGGGCTGATGCTCTAACCACTGAGCCAAACTGGCTAGGGCTGTTTAGTATAAATTTAAAATTATAGTAATACATAGAAAAACTCTTTTGTGAAATTAAAATTTTCATACATACTTAATTACGCAAACATATCTACATAAGTAAAAACGGGTAAACTAACTATTTGTCAATTTTTTAGCCTAAACATCCAGAAATCTATTACATAACAGACTTTCGGCTTTAACAGACACCCCGTTGCCCGAACTAGTCCATTGTCTGAAGGTTTTACTGTGTGTGTGAGAGACGGAGACGGGGCCCCACACAGAGCCCGGTTGGACTGTTCCGCTCCACTCTGTCCATCGGAGGAGTCCAGTGGCAGCTGCCTGACCTGGGAGCCGTCCTGGTGGAGACCCAGACTCGATCCGGAGCGTGGCCCTCCCACGCGCGTGTGTCTGAGTGCGGGTGTCACAGGGACAGCACAGAGGGTCTGCAGGCCCGGGGTCAGATCCTCACTCGGCCACGGGACTGTGGGCCGGTGACGCGGGCTGGCAGCCCCCGTCTGGGCGCTGCAGAGGTCACGGCGCCGTCCTGAGAGTGCGGTGCCCTGCGAGGCTGCAGAGTGGACGGGGGCGGGGGGGCACCCGGGCGCCGTGTGAGCCAGGCCCCCATCAATTTCNAAACATATCTACATAAGTAAAAACGGGTAAACTAACTATTTGTCAATTTTTTAGCCTAAACATCCAGAAATCTATTACATAACAGACTTTCGGCTTTAACAGACACCCCGTTGCCCGAGCTAGTCCATTGTCTGAAGGTTTTACTGTGTGTGTGAGAGACGGAGACGGGGCCCCACACAGAGCCCGGTTGGACTGTTCCGCTCCACTCTGTCCATCGGAGGAGTCCAGTGGCAGCTGCCTGACCTGGGAGCCGTCCTGGTGGAGACCCAGACTCGATCCGGAGCGTGGCCCTCCCACGCGCGTGTGTCTGAGTGCGGGTGTCACAGGGACAGCACAGAGGGTCTGCAGGCCCGGGGTCAGATCCTCACTCGGCCACGGGACTGTGGGCCGGTGACGCGGGCTGGCAGCCCCCGTCTGGGCGCTGCAGAGGTCACGGCGCCGTCCTGAGAGTGCGGTGCCCTGCAAGGCTGCAGAGTGGACGGGGGCGGGGGGGCACCCGGGCGCCGTGTGAGCCAGGCCCCCGTCGATTTCCTGTGGCATTTCTCGGGGCTCTTTCCCCAGGGTGGGTGGCAGGTGGCAGGTGGCAGAGCCCCGCAGTGCAGTGTGCGCTCGCTCCAGTTTGCCCCCCCCGAGGACACTCGGTGCCTCCGAGGGTCCGTCACTCCCATGAGCCACCTGCCTACCTGGCCTGCATGAGTGACCCCAGATGCACTGCTGGGTGGCTGTTACCAGGTCGCCCTCCCACGGGTGTGCTGTGTCCTCCAGCCGCCTAGAGGGCCCGCGTCCCATGTGCTTGCCCCCGGCATAGATGTCCCCGGGTTCTGCTGTTTCCCGACCCGGTGGGGGGACGGCAGCCCTGAGTCGTCTCCCTTTGTGAGGCTTTGCCGTCAGGGAGGTGGGTCCCCTCTGTGTGTTTAGTTTTCACTCTATGTTGTTACTGTGGTGAAATGTACGTAACAAAAAAAATTTACCACTGTAAACATTTTTTTGTGGTTAATTCTCAACCAAGGATTTTTTTTTCATTGATTTTTAGAGAGAGTGGAAGGGAGGGGGGAAGAGAGAGAAACATGGATGCGAGAGACCCATCGATGGGTCGCCTCCCGCTGGTGCCCCTCCTGGGGGTGGGGGCCAAACCTGCAACCCAGGTACAGGCCCTTGACGGGGAATCAAACCCGTGACCCTTCGGTGCTCCGGCCGATGCTCTCGCCCCTGAGCTGCGCAGGCCAGGGCGCACTTGAACCATTTTTAAGTGCCCAGTTCAGTGGCATTAAGAATATTTACGGCCCGGCCGGGCGTGGCTCAGTGGTTGAGCATCGACCTAGGATCCAGGCGATCGGGGTTCGATTCCCGGTCAGGGCACAGGCCCGGGTTGTGGGCTCGGTCCCCAGTCGGGGGCGTGCAGGAGGCAGCCGATCAGTGACCCTCTCATCACGACTGCTTCTCTCTCTCTCCCTCTCCCTTCTCCTCTCTGAAATCAATAAAATTATATTTTTAAAAAAAATGAAAACATTTATATTGTCCGAGTGGCCACCCTCTTGGCCGCCGAGGTGGGGGATGGGCAGGGGAAGACAGACTGGTTCGCAGGCGGGCACGCGCGTCTCCTCCAGGGTGGGCAGGGGAGTTACCGTGTCTCCCCCGCACAGCAGCGGCGAGGCCGAGGTGAACTGATGTCGGTTTTAAGGCTGATCTGGCGCCTGCCTGCCTTGTCCACGGGTCCCAGCAGGCGGGGACTCTGGGCCCAGCCCTTCCAAACTCGGGGTCCTCGGGCCCCTCAGCGACCCCTGGGTGGATGCAGGATGCTTCGAAGCGGCTCCCTGAGCTCAGTGTTTCTCCTCTAGGCTGGTCCGGGGACCCTCATCATGGCTGCAGGCGTCCAGGACTTTAACCGGACAGAGTATGATCGACTGAATGAAATCAAAGGTCACCTGGAAATCGCCTTACTGGAAAAACACTTCTTACGTGAGTACCAGCGAGGGGGCGGGGGGCGGAGGGGACACCGTGCCGGTCACCACAGCTTCTCTGGACCCGTGGGCCAGGGTTCCCTCGTGGGGATATCCCCACACGCCTCTTGCCTCCCGAGTCTGAGTGTCCCTCTGCTGCTCGCCAAGCCCAGCGCTGTGGCCACGATGTCTTGCTCCCTGGGGCAGAGGAGCGTGTCCCAGGCGGGATTAAACGTCCCCGGAAATCAGATTATCTTAGAATCTGGTGAACTGTGATTCCAGGGCTGTGGCTTGGAGCCTGTCGAGCTTCGTGACGGACCCTGCGTTTCCTGTTTGTTCTGTTCTGTTTAGTTCATGCGTCGAGGTGGGAGGGACAGC